CTCGCCCCGCCGATGCCGGGCTCCGAGCAAGGACAGCCCGGAGCCGGGTGGGAGCCGGCGCCTGGGGGCCTCGCCCGCCTGGAGGAGACCCCGGCCCAGGCCCCGAAGCCCCAGACCAGCGGGACCCCGCCGGACCCGGATGGGGCGCCGGAGGGGCGTGGGGGGCAGGTTCCCCTCCCCCTCTCTCCCCTCCCCCTCACTCGCCTTCTCCCCTCCCCCTTCCTCCCCTTCCCTCTGCTCTCCTCCTTTTTGAGCAGTTTAGGTTTTCAGTGAAATAAACACGAAGTGCACGGGTCCCCATTTGCTCCTGTCCCCCCAGCTTCCCCTCTTCTCACCATCCTCCCGTGGCGCGCTTGCTGCGCTGACGCCCGGGGCTGACCGCAGTTACCCGGCGCCCCTGTGCGGGGAATGTTCTGTGGGTCACGGAGATGGACGCCGCCGCCCGGCTCCCCGCCCGTGCCTTCCTCCCTGACCTCTTGGCTCCCGCTTCTCACGTGTGATCGCTCGGCGCTGGCTGATGACCCCCAAGGCAGGAGCAGTGGCACCGTGCGCACGGGGCGGAAACAGGCCCAGGGGGCCTTTGCACACACTCACGAGTAGCGGACGGGGCTGTGGGCCCGCTCCGCGCTGCAGGGCCGTGCGTGGGGCACGCAGCCCGCTCTGCGGGGGCCCAGGGTTCCAGAAGTGCTTCCTGCTGGCGGCTCTACCGAGGGTGGGGACAGCCCTTGGGGGGCCCGGGCCTCCTCATCAGCCCCGCTGTTTCTGTGGGGAGGAGGTGACTCCGGCTCACACCCTCCTGCCTCCGTCTGGGCTGCCGGGCCGGACCTGGGATTTGAACCCAGGTCCCGGTGGGCGATTGTCAGGGTGCGCAGCGCTGTGGGAGCCCAGGCAGAGGGCGCTGTGGTCACACGGGGCTGGGACAGAGGGCCAAGTGCGGGGGAACTCTGTTGCCCCCTGACAGTGAGGTCCCGAGACCTTCGGGCCTCTGACCCCCAAAGAGCTCAAGCGCTGTTCAGGTCTGTGATCGGTGAACCGGACCAGAAAACACACCTCCAACGCGGGGTTTAAACCACGCCGCACCAGCGGCCCGGGAAGAGGGGACCCCAGAGGGGGCTGCGGGGCTGGGGCCCAGGGCCGAGGACGCGGGGCCCAGGGGGACTGAGCAGGGGGGGCCCAAGACTCCCTCCTCCTGCGGGTGTGGGCACAGGACAGACAGCCCCGGCCCGAGGGCTTGCGCCGGGAAGAACCGCTGCCCCGACGCGGCCTGGGAGCGCCAGGGTCCTTTGGGACAGAGAGGACCCTCCGGAGTGGCCTCCCCGCTGTCCCTCAGGCAGAGCAGCTGTTGCCCGCCCCCAGCACTCAGCCCTGCCCGCTGGAGAAGCACGCTGAGGTGGAACTGGGGGCCAGTGGCCAGTGGGGGGGGGCGTTAAAAATAGCAGCCGACCTGGGCGCCCTGCACTGATGTCCACCCAGGACGGAGGGCGGCCGGGCCGGGCTGGGTGATCCTCACAGAGCCCCTTCCCAGCACCCCTGGCCGTGAGCACCTGGGGGCAGCCTGGTGCCCAGGCCTTGGAACCGCACACCCAGTTTCTAACGTGCAAGCGGCACCTGCCAAACGGGAGAAGGAGCCGGGTTCTCTCCTCTTCTTTCCCTGAATGGAGGTGGACAGTGGCGAGTTTCCTCCACTAGGGGCCGCGCTTGTCCTAGTGGACCCGGAACTGAATCCGGTCCCAGGTGTGCGCTCCTGTTCCAATCATCAGCAAGTTTGTGCAGCGCAGGGGGCCTTCCGACTTCCAGGCCGGAGGTGAAATGTGAGGATGCGGGGGCCACTTCCAGCCGGGCACTGTGTCTTGCTAGCTGGAGGGAAGGTCACCCCGTGACTGTCCCTTACATGTTCCCAACACTGGACCTGCACTGGTGAGGGGCTGGTGCCTGAGACATCCAGTTGCGGGCCTGCTGTCCCCGGCCCGAGCTCGTGAGGACAGCCGGAGCCTTGGGACACTGAGCCCTCCTTCTTGGGATGGAGGCTGTGCCCGCCCTGCTCTTCCTGGACCCGGGACACATCAGTGATGTGAATAACAGCAAGGTCTTTGGTCATACTGTCCTGGGCTCCAGCCCCAAATCCAGCAGCTTCCTCTCCCAGGACATGTCTGTGGACACCGCTTAACTCTGCTGAGCCTGTTTCCTCATCTGTAGAGCAGGCAGCCATGACACCACCACCACCCGCAGAGCCCGTTGCTAGGCTTCAAAGTGACAGTACACATGAGGCGTACTGTCTTAGAGTACCTGGAGAAATGGCTCCTGTTAGTGGTATCATAGCCTCCAAAACAAGGCCTGCCCTGAGCTCCTCGTCCTCTGCGCTCCCCCATCTCAGGCGCCATCCTCCAGCTGACGCTGTCCTCTTTCCTGCAGTCCTCACCCTCGGGTGGGCCCTTGCAGGAGCACACAGGGTTGGAATCGAGGGTCTGGGTCAGCCCAGGACATTCCAGCCACATGACTGTGGGTAGTGCGGTTCCACGCGTCCTTCTGTAGACCCAGGGGAGCAGCGTCTCCCACAGGGCGTATCCAGGACAGGGAGAGCATTTAGGAAGTGGAGCGCTGTGTCAGTTTGCCAGGACTCCCGTGGCTTCGACAGCTGACCTTTACTTCCTCCCAGTTCCGAAGACTGGAAGGCCAAGGTCAAGGTGAAGCAGGGGTGGTACTGTCTGGGGCCTCTCTCCTTGTCCTCCTCCCCAGCCCTGACCACCATCGTTCCACTTTCCATCCTATGATCAGAGTGTCTAAATGCCTCACTGCTGTGGACTTGGGTAGCACTTGTCTTATGAACTGGCTTGTCTCATTGCACACCATGTCCCCTTCATGCATCCTGGTATATATCAGAAGTCCATCTCTTTTTGAGGCTCCATAGCACTCCAGTTTATGGATTTTATTGTCAGCTTCTCATCGCTATGATGAAACACCTGACACACACAGCTTTAAAGGCATGGCTTCTGTGGCTCACGGTTTCCAAGGATTTGGTCCATGGTTTCCTGGCTCCAAGGTGGGGTGTGGCAGAGAAAAGCTCCCACATCATGGCAGCCAGGAAGTAGAGGGAGCAGGAAGAGCCAGGCAGAAGAAGGGTCCAGAGTCAAGAATATGCCCTTCCAGGTCACACCCCCAGGGCCCTACCTCCTCCAACTGGGCCCTGCCTCTTAACAGCATATTCAGCTGTGAGCCCTTCAGTGGGTTAATCCCATGATCCAGTCACCTTCACCAAAGCCCCGAGTCTAAACATTTGACACTTTGGGGGACATTTTTGAATCAAACCATAATAGCAATAAATCACATTGTGTTCTTCCACGTATGTGTCAGCAGACACCTGTGTGGCTTCCAGCTGCTGGCCATTATGAGCAACGCTGGAATGAACACGTATGTGCAATACCTCCTTTGTACTCATTGCTGGGCCAAAGGCAGGTATGTTTAATTTTGGAGGGGCTGTCATACTGCTGCCTGCTGCCTCTCCATTGTCTCATGCTCCCACAGCAGGGCCCGACTTCCTCACCAGCGCTTGTAGCTGTCTGGGTTTTTTAGGTGCCATTCTAGAGGGCAAGGTGGATGGTGTTTTAAGTCTTGGCTTTGGTCCCCGCAGGACCTCAGCCCTCCTTGAGGTGCCCTGGTGTGTGGGAGTTCTGGGCCTTTGCTGTGTGCTCCTGGCAGGTCCTCCGGGCCCAGTGACCCTGGGGAACCCCACCGGGCCCTGGATGTGGGGCTTTGCGGGCTGGGCTGGGCCCAGGGAAGCTGGCTGAGACCTCCAGATGTCACTAAGTGTGTTCACATCCGGGCCAGCACATGCTTGGACCCCCACTCAATGTGCTCCCGACAACACCCAGCATTTCAGGCAGCACAGGCAAGAGCACACCAGGTTCTGGGCCCTTGGGCTCAAGAGTGACAAGGACACAGGGCAAAAGGCAGCCGGGGAGTAGGAAGGACACCGAGGCCTCCAGCGGGCACAGCCCAGCTGAGCATGGATTGACTCTGAGAGCAGCCAAGGCCCTCGACACCTTGCAAAGGGGGTCTTCAGAACCAGCCACCCAGTACTGAGTACTGCTCAGTGGCTGCGACCTCACAGCCTGAGGGCCAGGTCCTCTGGCCCCCGCTGTGCAGATGAGGACCTGGGCCCAGAGAGGGTAAGAGCCCAGGCCACACCCTGGGGGCTGGAGTCTCGGAGAGACTCTGGGGAGATGTTTCACGGTGCTCCTTGAGCTCGGGGAGTCTGTGCTGGAGGCTGGGAGTGGGGAGCCCACCGCGGGAAGCAGGGGGGGAAGGGGGCTCCCACCCCCGCCGAGCACAGCCTCCCCTCCGCCTGCTCTGCTGTCTGCCGACGCAGGGTACTGGAGCAGAGTCGGGCTTCAAAGCTTTTGTTTTTGAGAACCAGTCCCCAAGTCCAGCATTCGCGTCACCCCAGGCTTCTCACAAGGGGGAAACTGAGGCCCCGGGTAGAAACTTGCCCAAGGGCCAG